AGCTTCTTTTCGCCCTTAGCAGCAATAGCTGGAGCTCAACTTTGAAATTCTGCAAAGCTAAGAGATTACTTGCCGAAAAATTAAATCATTTCTTGATCTCTAGATGGTCCACGCCATTAAGATAATAACTTCCATGAAGGCATTCTTAACTGATCTCTGAAACTTTGTAAGTTCTCAAAGGGGTCAAAATGCTGATTTGTCTGAATGTTAATCAAGCCCCAACACTGGGTGGCAAAAGGACATCCCAGAAAAAGATGTGACAGTGATTCCTCCACAGCAGCGTTACAGAGCACACAATTGAAATCCTGCAGAGCCATGTTTTTCCTTCTCAACAGTTCTCTTGTGCTTATCCTGTCTTTCAGCAGAAGCCAAAAGAAGACCTTATGCTTGCTTTGGCGTGAGCAAGCCCACAGCCATTTGAAGGCTGGATGAACGACTTGGTGTCCACTCAAGGGTCTGTAAGTCTTTTTAATTGAGAATTTATTGGAGTTCCAAATGTAAACCCATTTATCTGAATCCCCATTTGTGTTGGTTTCATTCAACAATTCCTGGAGCATCAACATTTGGGCGTGTGCCTGCTGTGAGAGTTGCAGATGAAAAAGGCTGTGCAGAGGTGTTTGAGCACACCCATCAGCAAACACTATTTGCTTGTTTTTTTTTTGCAAAAGAGAACAATTCTGGAAACTTCTGGTTTAGAATCTCATTGCCCCACAGGTCTTCCCAAAGAAAACAAGATGATCCATTTCCAATTTCCACTCTTGCCATTCCTTTGAACTTGTTTAGCAACTTAACTATATCCCTCCACCAGAAGGATCCCTTCTTAGAGCTTCCAGGCAACTTCCCTGATCCATAGTACTTTTCCCAAACTAATGACACCTAGGGTATATCTTCCTTGTTGAAAATTTTGTGTAAATGTTTGATCAACAGAGCTTCATTTTGGGTTTTGATGTTGAGAACTCCTAGCCCTCCCTCCTCCTTCTCTCTGCAGACAGTTGGCCAGGCTGCTTTGGGTTTTTGCCTTGCATTGAAATCGGCACCCCTCTATAAACATAATTTCCTGAACTTATCTATCTGGTCAATCACAGTTTGTTGGAGTAAGAATGTGCTCATACAAAATGTTGGCGTTGCAGTGAGGACAGAATTTGTGACCTCAAGCCTTCCTGCCTGATTTAGAAATACTGATGTTGCAGCCAACCTTCTCTCACATCTAGTAAACAATGGTGAAAAATCAATGGCTCTAGGCTTGGTGAGGTTTAGATGTAATCCCAAATAGGTGAAAGGTAAGCTTCTAGTTTCACAGTTGAAAGTTCTTGCCAAATGTTGTAGCTTCTCTTGGCTTGTGTTAATGGGGACCATGATTGATTTGATGTAATTCACCTTTAATCCAGTTGATTCACCAAAGGTATGCAGAAGGGCCCTCAAGGTTACTAACTGCCTGCTGCAGGCCTCCATGATCAAAAGAGTATCATCTGCATATTGAATGATTGGAAAATCATCTGTATACCCTAATGGAATTGGTGGATTTAGGAAGCCTTGGCTTTTTGCCTTGTTAATCACAGATTGTAATAAATCAGCAGCCAGGACAAACAGCAAGGGGCAAAGAGGGTCACCCTGTCTAACTCCTCTTCTGCAATGGAAGTCTTTGCCTGGTACCCCATTGAGAAGGACAAAAGAAGTACCAGAGTTGAGAATAGCATTTATCCAACTAATCCATCTCTGACCAAACCCTTTAGCTCTCATTACTTCCAGAATTGCATTGTGTTCAATCTTATCAAAAGCTTTCTCAAAGTCTAATTTCTAGATGATCAAATCCTTCTTTGACTTGTGGCAATTATGTATAAAGTCCAGAGCCTAGGCCAAACAATCATGGATGGTTCTAGTTTTGATAAATCCATACTGATTTTGGTGAACTTTGTGAAGCCTATTAGACAGCAACTTTGTGATGAGCTTTATGGATGAGTTGAGGAGAGAGATTGGTCTGTAATCTGAAACATTCTGTGGACCATCTTTCTTTGGGATTAGGACAATGTGAGAATTATTAATACTTCTTAGGCAGACCTCCCCTCTATGGAAATTTTCACACAATAGCATGAAGTCACCAGCTAAGAGTGGCCAACAACCCTTAATGAATTCATTACTAAAACCATCTGGGCCTAGAGATTTATTGTTTGGCAAACTGATGACTACCCTCTCAACTTCCTCTTTAGTGAAGGGTAGCTCCAACTGTTCTAGGCCACCCACAGGTTGGATAAGGTGGTTTAGGTCAAAGATCATCTGATTGTAATATGTTATGCCCATCCTTCCTCTAAAAGAGTTCCATAAAAGTTGAGCTTTTTGTTCATGCCCACAAAGGGTGTTCCCCAATCCATCCTGCAGAGAGGTGATCTTGTTATTTCTGTGTTTCATTGTTGCATGAGCATGAAATTTTTTTGTAGCAGCATCTCCTTCTTTTACCCATCTGACTTTACCTCTTTGCCTCCAGTAAGTTCTCTGTTGTTTCAATAGGAAGATTAGCTTTTTAGAAACCATGTTCCTAAAGTTCCATTCTGGCAATGATAGGTCCCTGAACAGTTCAATGGTTTCCTAGAAATGCAGCACTAATTTGATTTTCTCAATTGTAAGGGCCAATTTTGGTAAGGTTGATTTCCATTCCTTCAGCTCCCTCCTTAAGTTCTTGAATTTGGCAGTCAGCATCTTGGCATGGTCTGTGATATGTTCAGGGCCTTTCCATCCATTAACAGCAACATAGATAAACTCATCTTGACTGAGCCAGTGATTTTCAAATCTAAAAATTTGAGCTTGGGGAATTGAGGTGCTAATCTCAACTACACAAGGCCAATGATCAGATGTTTCCATGACCAAGGTTTTGACCAAAGTGTCAGGGAACTTTGAGGTCTAGAAGTTAGAGGTAAAAAACCAGTATAGCCTCTCCAACAGTGGTGGAAACTGCTTGTTTGCCTGAGTGAACTGTCTTCCATGAAGGGTTAACTCAATCAAGTCTAGCTTATTAATGGCTTCATTGAACAAAAAAAATTCATTTAGATCTGCACCTTCCCTGTTCCTATCCTTAGGTTTTCTTAGAACGTTAAAATCACCCACAACAAGCCAATCAACATCTTCAGGCATTTCAATTTCTCTGAACCAATCTAAAAATTCCCTTTTACCATGAGGTGTACAAGGGGAATAGACAGTTGTTAAGAGCCAAGTCTCATTGTTGAGTTTTGAAGTAAACTCCACTGACAAGGCAAACCTATTATTGAAAATAAGGTTTCCCCAGAAAGCAGTGCCCTTCTAGACCACTAAAATTCCACCAGATGCACCTACTGAGGGAAGAAATTCAAAGGAGTCAAAATCCACAGGACAGATTTTCTTGATGAAGTCTGAGTCAAAACTGTCCTTTTTGGTTTCCTGTAAGCAAATGATTTCACTCTTGCTTTTGACCACTTTGTCCCTGATGGAGTTCCATTTTCTGTCAGAGTTCAACCCTCTAACATTCTAGTTTAGTATTTTCCAAGCTCTGTTGTGTGCCATAAAAAACAAAGGAAGAAACAGGCTAAGCAACTGGTAGGAGTACAATCCTACCAGGGAAACACCACCACACCCAGGAAAAAGATAACCAAGGTAACAGAAAAGACACGATAATAGCCAATTCAGTGCTGAAAGCACACAAGTTTAGGTATAGCCAGTGCCAACGCAGGGCCACAAACCAGGACAAAAGATTTAACAGATTACTGCTAAGGAAAGAAAACAACTAAAAATCTAAACAAAAAGAGGGAGACCAAGTCTCAACTACCCTAGAGCAATGAGTTGTCATTCTATTCATCATCTTTGTTCTTCTCCTCATCTTGGCCTTCAGGGTCTTGCCTTTGTTCCGTTTGCTTTTCTTCACTTTCGTTTCTACTGGTTCCACCTTGTTCTTCCCCATGAGAACCTATTCCTCTAGCTGCTCCTCCTGAAGCTGGCATAAAGAAGTTCCAATATTCTTCAGTGAGAGGGGTGACAAGATTGGTGGGTCATTGGAACAACCCATGTAATTCTTAATCCTGCAAGTGCTCACCTTGAAACCATTAGTGTTAGCCCTCACCCTGTCGCTTCTTCTGACAACTGAGTCCACAATGGGTGTGCCTACCTTTCCCTTTCTTCCTCTCTTCTTGTTGGCTAAGGTCTCCTCACTGTCCTCTTTGGGTAGGGCTTCTTCAATCTCTTTGATAGAGGATGGTTCAGAAACAAGCATGCCATAGGGCCCTAGTGGAGGACGGTTTGTAGACAGAGATAAAGGACACCCCCTAGGCCCCCATGTGCAAAAGATGCGAGAAACCAGATTCAAATAGACTTTTGGCCCATTTGTGTTGGGCCGGTGCTTCAAGAAGGGCCTGAAAGAAGCCCACCCATTCCTTTGGGACCATTAAGGCCTCCTTGTCTGCCAATTCACTGATTTGAATGTTGGCTAGGTTTTTTGGCGCCAACAAGGATAGATCAGTGGGTCTTGGAAAATCCGGGGCATTGAAGAAGAAGGTCCTGACCATACCAATTTGTATATTTTCCTGAACCATCAAACCATCCACTTGCCCCTGCTGATCATTCATTTGCCCCTGCTGATCATTCATTTGCCACTGCTGATCAACCATTGCTTCTTGCTGTCCCATCTAAGTTATGTTGTCCTGCCACATGCTCCTACTAGTTTGCCAAGTCATCCAGGTCCATGAGCTCCTCTTCATGCACTTGCATCACAGGGAAATGCATAGGAATTGGGATATTGGCCTCAACTTTAGCAACAACTTCTGGTTGTTGGGCTTGAGTGGGGGTGGGAGTTCGATTTGCTGCTCCTCTTCTTGGTCATTTCCTTGTGCTGGATTGATGATCATTTCCAAAGGATCTTCACACACTGGTGCCTCATTTAGGTCCTGTTCCATAGCTACCGGTGCCTGATTCAGATCGATCTGCTATTGCAGAGCTGGCAACTCCTCAGGCTAAACATCCCAGCCTTATTGGGGTTCCTGCTAAACCTGAATGTTCTGCTCTTCCTGCTCATTCAGATTTGCCTCCATATTAGGCAGTGGATCATGGGCAGCAATTGGAGCGACCACTTGTTGACCCAATCCAAAAAACTCAAACAATGGAGGACCATCATCTAGGAGCTGCGGTACTTGTTCGTCATCCGAGGGATCAACACCCAGATGCTCATGCTGTAGGATCTCACATTGAACTGTCCAAGACTGGCCATTGTATCCTGGCCCATCAAAGAAGACAGAGAAATGTGGAATGGATTCCAAATCAACCACCCTTGCCCTAATAATCAGCCTAGTAAGTTGATCAGGGTCACTATCCCATCTTATTGTTCGGGCAAAAGGTCTGAGAACAGTGTCAATAAACTCATCCTCCCAATAATCCTCTGGCAGCCCCATCAAAATCACCCAACATTCCTGATTAAAGTTAAGGCTCCTCCAGTTTCTGCCCTGGTTATGCCTTACGAATGAGAAATGAACCCCCATAAGGATGTGGACTATCAATCACAAAGCTATCCCTATCATATTCATGCTCAAACTGCACAAAAGCTTGGCCTAGGTGACAGGGTTGTACATCTTTTATCTGAACCCTTCTATGAATAAAGAACTCCCTGATGACCTCATAAACCATTGGGAAGTGTGGCACATTACCAGGCAGCGGAGAGATGGTGACGATGGCCAAGTCTTTGTTTCTTGCTCATGGCTTCCGCCCAGCTATAGACCGCACCATCATAGGCCTATTTGGTATGTTCTGGATGTGCATCCCACTCAGCTTGAAGGGATTGGGATCGGCGCATTGGTACGCTACGACCAACTGCTCGGGGTGGTCAGGTGGAGTGAGATGAGGCAATGGCGCCTGAGTAGCACTGTCAGACGGGGGTTTTCTTGGGTCGCCACTGTTGTAGACGGAGGGTCATTTATTAGAGGAAGACGGAGCGGCATCAGGCCTTATTGATACCCCACCGAGGCATAGTTTAGTCGTTGGGCTCTGGGTCTCCGGAGCCATAAGCCGACTCGTCATACCCACTGACGGTGTCCACTACACTGTGATTGGTTTTGGCTGTGGCAACGCCTGAGAGGTGGAAGCTTGAAATCTAGCCCAGGCCCCAAAGGAGTCAAAGACTGGCAGGCTGTGATGCGGCCCAGTACCCAAATCGGTTTCCAATGCAACGGGCTCGGGTTGCTCAACAATTTGCCTTTCATTTAAATCGACCCCGGCCACCTTCTCGTATCTGCTTGGCCCTTTTCCATTTCCTCCCCAATAATTGTTGCCCAGGCAATTAAACGCGATGTGTCCCCCATGTTGGCAAGCAAAGCATCTTATGGGAGATTTGCACGCCTCCCTAACGTGTCCCGCGGTCAGACAGCGTGAGCAACTCCTGAATGTCAGAGCTGCTAAAGGATTGCCTACAGCAGAGCATTGACCCAAGGCTGCTCTAGGCTCCAAATTCAAATAGGAGCCGATAGGCTTTGGCCTTGCCTGATGAACTTGCCCAATAGGATTCTTTCCTTTGTCAGAAGCAGGCCCTTGGTTAGCAGGGAAAAGCAGACGATCAAAAACACTAATTCGAGGCTGATGAGAAGCAATGGGAACTTTGTTGGCTCCAGTGAGCGGAGTGCTTTTCACGGCATCAGCAAAGGTGGTTGAAGGTCTGATCAGATTTCCGTTTGCGCTCACTGCACTTTTCTGGACAGCAGTCCACGAGGCTTCTTCCTCGGCACAGAAACTTCTCCACTCCCGAATCCAGTTCGGGCCGCCATTGCTCCAGAGGTGGAAAAAGACTTTGAAAGACGAACACTCAAAAGAACGCAAATTGGCAACATGAAAACCAACATATTTTGAGGAAACCAAGAACCGAAACACCCTATCAGAAAGCTGAAGAACAGCAAAATCCAAGACGACACCCCCGATCGTAGCCTGAAGAATGGCTCCAACCGAAGAAGGGGAGAGCTTGTACTTACAGCGGCCAAAAGAAGCGACCAAGAAGAATGCTCGGCCCCATATCGTCGGGGACACCAAGCAGCCGAACTTGCTCTTGATCACCTTTTGGACACCGACACCAGGACGAGGGTTTATGCCCTGGAGTTCCATGACAAGCAGCGGAAGCCCCGATGATGGCAGCAACGGCCTAAGTCGGAGCCAGGAACCTCACAAAGCGGAGGAGCAACTAAAGGCGGGGCATCGATGGTGTCCACCCATGGTGGCTGGGTTGCCGGAGAGGGGAGGAGGGCCGGCCAGCGCCGGCAACGCCGTAGGCGACACCAAGAGCGGCTAGGAGGAGGTGCGCACCGCCGAGTCCTTGGATAATGTATTATTACTGCATCTTTGTAACTTGAAGGTACCAATACACCAGAGAATAATTTCATTCTTGCCCTCAACTTACGGCTCTCGAAAAGTAAAAACATAGTTAGGATTGCAGTCGGATGCCTGCACCTGTTCATACCTTACTTAGGCTCAACAGTCGAGACTGTGAAGACAAAGCTCACTCAGGTACCAACACAAGACTTGTGCTGGGTGTCCGATGCTTATCCTGTTTTTGGCCATCGCGGTGATCACCAAAACAATCTTCACACCATCTAGTCCAAATGGTTGCGACCAAATCCTCTTTGTTGCCAGCAACAAGATCGTAACTACTCCCAGAGCAACAATTTCAAAAGCTCATCGTCAGAATCATTGCCATGTGATATATACTTGGAACCTATTATCCAAGTGTATTTGCTAGGCCATGTTGCACTGTCTGTTGGGAACAACATGCAGAGAGCAGTCGCCGATGGTGAAAGCAAAACAAGTCCCATGAGTGAATTTCGTTATCTGAAACTTGGAGTTCATTTCTATCCCCATTTCCCTTGTGAGGATTTGTCACCTGCAGTCGAGGGTTCAGCAACTGAAATGATCAATGGGCTGGCCTGAAACATGGCTTGTATGCAAAAATTTGCTTTGGACAGTTGGGTGACTTTATGATACCAAAGGCAGTAGATTGCCTTCGTGGGAGTGAGGCAGCTACCTCGTATCAGATGCTTTGGAAGTCCAAGCATGGTGGCGCATACCTTCAGGTCGAGAAAATCTCATGGGGACCAAACACTGGGAGAGGCATGGGTGGAAAACATCCAAAACAATGACAGGGAAAGAAGGTACGGGGATGGGCAAGTGCGAACAAAGATTTCTTGAGCTGGTGGGTTGCGCACACACCTGTCCACTTGCAGGGCACAGTCATGGACTGGGTTCAGAAACAAAAGCAATTGCCGCTACCATTATTATTTAAAAATAATCCCTGCATTGATGATTGTCCAATCATGGTGATTTCTTCGCAATATCGCAGATCTTTAGCAAGGAAGATCAAATCGTGCAGCATATTAAATGCCTGAAGGATTTGGTGTTACCAAAGTGTGTGTCATTCTGGCAATAAGTTCTACTAGAGGAAGCTTGTCATGACGGAAAATTCAGATCGATTTTTATGTTGCCTGTTAGACAATCTCATGTGTTCCTTTGGTGTCTATGTATGTGTAAGACTTGTTATGTAATTACTTAATTTGTAGGGACTAAAAGGAGAAAACTGTAAACTGATAAATAAAAGAACACTAAAAGCATCGTTGCAGAATTTCCTAACTTGTTATTGATATCCCTTCTCCTCGTAAACCCTACACCTCTAAAATCCTATGGGCCCTATTTATTCTTTAGTACGGTATCAGAATCAGGTTAACTTTGTTGATTGCAATCTATTTTCATGGATTGTTTGGTGTTTATGGTGCTATGAAGCCACAATTTGGTGGCCTTCCCAAATATGGCGGGCTGCAGCTATCTTTTTTTCTTGTTGCTGGTTCAGGTAGTTGATTGGGAAAGTGGGAATGGATCCAACCCAAAGGTTGATCTAGGGGCATTATAGTGGGGAGTCAAGCTTGACTCCTTTGAGATTGATTGTGACCCTCTTATAATTTTGTATCCACATAACCATAAGAAATATACTAACTTTATTCTTTCATTGTTTCCTGAACCTCTTGTAAACTTATTGTTCGCCTTCTTTTAATAAATATTCAGTATTCCGGCTCGGGTTTGGCTCAAACAATAGACTAACTTTCGGTGGGATATTGTTATTCGGGGTGAAAACACTCTGGAATGAACCATGCTCCATCTCGGTCCAATTTCTAAATTCAACCCACGTGTGTTTTCCTATTCTTGGCACATTTCAAAATGGGATGAAAAAATGTGGCTATTTTTTCAATCATTTCACTTTTCCCATTTTTGACCGGGATATCCAATTGTTACGGACATCCCATTTTTAAGAATCCCAATAGTGCATAAAAGTCGCTCACACCACACAATAGTTGCCGAGTCCAAGGCGGACTAGTGGATGGCTTCATGTGTTGTGGACTTATAGTCGTGTACTATTTTCTTATTTTGTAGTTTATGTTATTAATTGGAATATTTTTGTTGTGTTGGTAGTTTCCCATGTCGAGTTGGTCAGCATGTGAAGTCATGTTTCAAGATGACAACACAGTGAGGCTAGCATAGCACCAAGGAGAGGTTTCAAGGCAAAGATAAGAGAGCAAAAAAATAAACATATTTGATCAAGTGATGAGGTGTCTGTCCACCCCGTCTGCCCTAGCCCTGGCACCCTCATGCCAGGCCCTCGATAGCCTGAAACCAACTCCTCATCCCTAACCGTGTGAGTAAGGGAGTCATGAGTGCGAGGCAATTCCAAGCCCTAGGCCGACCGACATGGCATGGTGGCAGCACCGGCTATGCGTCGGGCAAAGGTGGGGTGCAGGCGACAGCCGGGTGGCTAGGAGCATGCAGGCAGCCACTAGCTGAGAGGTGGTTTGGATTTTTTTAATGTGGTGCGAACACATGGTGGATATGTGCCCGTGTGTATGTTTGATGAGTCATTGTCAAAAGGTGACCAAAGCTTTGGATTAGTGCGTTGAGACTAACCATGGCATGAGTTGTGTATGTGCAATATGTCCCTTGTCTTGTGATGTGTAGGTGTTGAGTGTGAGGCGGTTGATGGCAATGGAGAAGGTCAACTGAGTCCGTGCGTGATGTACCGGTTACGATGAAGGGGTTGGACGTGGAGGCTTAGACTAAGAGACCGTGGGCTAGAGGACGAACTGTGGCCGGCTAGCAGTTGGGGATGCCGACAAGCAAGTGTACATGTGAGGAAGGTGATGAAGCCTGTGTTCACCAAAGTCAAGACAATGATCAGACCAAGTCAAGGCGAGGGCGTGAACACTTGGTGATTGGGAAGTTGAGGATGATCATGACATGCATCGACATCATGGAGAAGGCATAGCGGCTATGCGACTCCAAGCGGGTTTGGCGGTTTGGGCCTCAAAATTGCGGGAGGCAGGTTTGCTTGGTTTGGGCCACAAAACCCGGGGGAGGACCTGGGGGTGACACATGGCATCATCAGAGAGCTTATGTCGAGGCAAAGCATCTTCATGAAGGACTCATGGCCGTCCCATGCATGGAATCCACTTTGCACGATTAC